TATGTCAATCGGTAGGATGAATGAAAATTAATATCCATCGATAGGATTTTAAATGTATGTCCATCAGTAGGACAAATGAAAAAAATGATCTATCTGTATGACTTTAAGTGTATGTCCATCGGTAGGACGAATAAAAAATTTTACAATGCAAGTCTCCTTCGAAATGAACATGGAATAGATAGGTTGCACATCCTTCACCTCCGAATAGATGTTACTTAAATTCAAATATCTTTTAACGCAAGTTTCCATCGACTTGAACGCGAATAGAAAAGGTGCATATCCTTCACCTCCAAATAGATGCGACTTAAAAATGTAAATATATTTTAATGCAAGTTTCCTTCAACTTAAACATTGAATAGATAGGGCTGACATCCTTCACCTTCGAATAGATGCGACTTAAATGAAAATATGTTTCAACGGAGTTTCCTTTGACTTGAACGTTGAATAGATAAGGTGCACATCCTTCACCTCCGAATAGATGCGACTTAACTGCAAATATATATCAACTCAAGTTTCCTTTGACTTGAACGTTGATGATATAGAGTGCACACCTTCCACATCTGAATAGATGTAAAGTAAATTCAAATATCTTTCAACGCAAGTTTCCACCGACTTGAACGTTGAATAGATAGGGTGCACACCCTTGACCTATAAATAGATATGACTTAAATGTAATTGCCTTTTTGGTGAATGAAAATGCAATGTCCCTCTTGGTAAATGAAAAATGCAATTATAAATTACTCAATGATTTTCCACAGTAACGAGGTGGATGGCTCATGATTGTTCAACTATAGTAAGGTGAATGGCTCGATAATTGTCCAACTATAATGAGGTAGATGGCTCGATAATTGTCCAACAATAACGATGTGAATGTTTCAATGATTATCTAATTGTAACAAACTAGATGGTTGGGTGATTGTCCAATTGTAACGAGTTGGATGGCTTGGTTATTGTCTTGAAAGTGTGATCGCCTCAATGCTTTCACCTGTTCATGTACATGAAAATAAACAATTAGTAGACACAATGTCACCTTATCTAGTGAAATAGTAAAGAAACCTTGAGAAAAGATTCTTTAAAAGAGAACGTGTACAAAATGCCTAATCACTTTCACACATATGAACAATCAACATTTTACTCTTGAACATTTTGTGTTTATTGCGACTTGTGTCTTATTTTCTTTTAGTTGAAAGAATCCAGTGGCACAATTTTATAGGTGGATATATCTGTGCAATAGTTTTACTACAGATACCCTTAATTTGCTGACAAAGTCTATTCTCACCGTATGTCCTCCCGAGTATGTTAATGTTTGGCATTTATATGGTATGGGCCAACAACTCTAAACAAGTACTAATAATATTTGTATTCTTTTCATGATTATAAAACTTAGGGATAAGAGTGATAATTGCTGCAAATGATGTATGTGTGGTGGTTTCGTTTATGATCTATGTGTTGGCTATAAAGAATTAGTATTTGCGTAAAAGGTAAGGATAACGAAAAGAAAGTTAATTGGTTAGAACTATGTTATAATTAGTTGGTTGAACATAATGGAATCTAGTACATGAAGCTGCCAGTTTTGATAAAAAGTTACTTGTTAGATAGGAAGCTTGTGAGAATGAAGCTTAAATTACACAGGCCCAATATGTACAAACAACTTCTCATTAGAAAGATATGGAATATGTCAAATTGCCTAAACATAGGAGTAGGGGTGATATGAGGATGCTATAGGAGTGACATAGAAGGTTATGAGAGAGTGATTGTTAAAGTGTATGCAGTAAGAAAATGTTATCAACTCTTCAACGCGAACAAGTTATAATGGCGCACTGCGAACAATTTTGTGAACCTTTGACACATAGAGAAGTCAATTTAGTATCGATTCAAGTTTTGATATTTATTCTTGATAACAACAAGAAAAAAAGAGGTGAATTTAATGTTACCTATATATAAGATGGACCTAGTTCATCCACATCTTTAGTACAAATAGAAGTAAAACATTATACATATGTATAGACTTTCATCAAATTGAATGGAGATATTACTGGTTTCATTTTATATATGCCTACGGTAACTTATCAATCCTTGTCTAGTTAAGGGAAATAAAAAAATTGATCATGTGCATATTGCTAGTTGTTCTTATTTGCAATCTTGCATGGGAAAAGAGTCGGAGCACCCTTACTTATTATGAAAAAAGGGAAGAAATTTTTTAGTATGGCAAGACCTATCTAGTTAAGCCCAAATTGGCTAACTCTAACACGTTATGAATCATGATATAACTTTATAGGTACCTGACATTTACATGTTAGTAGAGTTCATATTTCATGGTGCGTTCAAGATTCACTATTTATTTTCTTTTTCAACCTTCAAAGGGCATCAGGCATTGAGTGTGATATAACACAAGCTAGTCATGAAGGAAATATTGACCTCGGCCTCCTACTCTGAAAGATGAATTATTCTTTTTGAGGATTTTCTTTTTCCATCTTGAGTGTACTATTTATATTGACCTAGACGGAAGCTCGGTCCCAATAGCAGAACACTAATAAGAATTCTTAGGAGATTGGAGAGAGTAGATGGTATATCTATTGTATATGTTTTGAGGCGAGGTAGGAATATGACCAGAACTATCCCACCTGTAACTTAAACGCTTAAGACAGTGTGTTTACCTTAGTACTGTAGAGTGATTCTATAATATATATTTAGTTAGTTTCCAAAGATGATTTGTTATATAATTATACATGCTGGATGTTCTATAACTTATCTATTTGTATGTCATTTTCCTTTTGTGGATTGCCTTCTCACAGGTTAACTAACGTCATGGAATGCGTACATGCAAGAGTTATCCGCTTCAAAGCACCCTTGTTTATTGATGTTTTCATAGGAACTTTTCCTTGCATGTAATTTATTGCATTGGTTACTTCCCATATGCCATTTGTCCATATTGTACGGGTAATGCATGTTAATTAATTATATGACCGTTTCTATATATTTTGCATACCAAGTAGCCTACTTGCTTAAACATTTCAGGCCTTATAGCTTTTCTGGCCATGTTTTATGTGCTCACTTGATCATATTTCATATATGTGCTCATTGACATGTTAGTCCACCTATCCATGCAATACAATGCACTTGCTCAATGTGATTTGTCTTTCGTAGTTCATTTTCTTATATGACTACATGTCATATGTACTACATATCTCAGCTTATGTACTCGTGCATCATGTGCTCATCTAGTCCATTCCTACATTCTATAGTTCATTCTCTCACACGCTACCCTATAACTCATATGCATGCGTACACATGTATTTCTATAGCTTAATGTCTGTATACCTTGCGCTCTCCCTTTTTGGCTAGTCTGCCTATGTTCCATGCCCAACATGACTTATTCATCTTTATATTATGACCCTCTATATGCTTATTGATTTGAGTTTTGAACAATTTGGGAATATATATTCTTGTATCATTATGTAGTGAAGATTTTGACAAGAAAAGGTTGGGTATATATGTAAACTTAATAAACCATAGATAAAAAACTTATCATAATACCCTATTGGCAGGAACGACACAAAACTTAGATTTATATTAACAACTATGAGTTCTTAAAGACTCACCGCTGAAAAGCGTCATGAAATAAAAGAGAAAGGAAAGTTTTGCCCCGATAGTCTATGATTTTATGTGTCTGTTCATATACAAAAAAAATTGGGAGATAATATAGTTATTCTTAACTGTTAAGGCCCGGAAGCTATGCTCAGAATGTGTAACCATAAGTATTAGTGAAGGAATAGAATATAACATAAGATACTTTGGAATAGAACATGGTAGAGAGATACTAGGTAACCCTCCTCATTCTAAACAACAACATAAGGATCTAAGATCATGTGGTCCCCTTATATGATCATGAATCCTACTAGAATTTGTTCATTTGCTGTGTCATTTGCGTGTCGTGTATTTAGGTATATTACATTCCTTATTTATATGAGTCTTACTTGTATATCTTTAGTGAATTACATGGTAAAGAAGGGGTTTAATTTTCATAATACTATTTCATGAATCATATCTATCGAGACATCATGCTACATTTGTCTTTACATATTTTAGGTTAGTCTATGGATTGTAGATAGTCCTTCCTATTTACAATGGGGATTCTCGCAAATCTCTATATGAAATTCAAAGATTAACTAAACTACTAGGTGCACCTATCATTCGAGGACGAATGATCATAAAAAGGGGAGGATGTCACACCCCGTATTCTACGTGTACTAGTCTTATTTATATAATTCTTATTAACTGCATTGTGGTATAGTTCTGGATTTGGTTTTATAGGCAACTAGTGGCAATAGAATAGGTTTAAAGTGAACTGTCCATATATTTTGATGCGATCCAATTAAGTTGATGTCGATGGAAATATTTAAACTTTAGATCATAAGGTGGTATTTGAGTTTAAAGTATAAAGTGACTTAGTGTATATAAGTTCTGAGTTATGTTAAAGTTATTAAGGTCTAGAAATGAAATAAAATATTGAGGTGCTTGCTTGACTTCACTAAGCTAGTAGGTGACAAGTAGGTGCATCACCTACTTTGACTTATTGACTAGACAAAGTAGGTACATCACCTACTAAGACTCTTTTGACTGTGTTATCGGTCCAAGTACACTACACCTATTTACATTAATTTAGCCCAAGTTGAATAGAAGAATAAGAGGAAAATGGACAGCAAAGTCACAATCTTCCCAATCCCACAAGAAATAATTTTAATGGAAAACTAGGTGCATCACCTACTTAAATGTGTGGCCCAAATTATAGACACTTGTTGGCTGCAAATGAAGTACATGAAAGGTGGCAAAAGGGCCAATGTTCTTAAATCCAGAAAGTCCAAATGAAAAGTCCAAGTAGGTGGGTCACCAACTTGAAATATTATGGCCCAAAATGAGTGAGAAAGTCGGCCAAAGCAGGTCCCATTAAAAGAGATTGATATCAGCTTTTTCAAGCCATTATTACTTTGACAAAAAAATATGATTTCTAGATTTTTCTCTCTTCTCTCTCTTAGATTCATACAACAACAATTAAATATCATTAGGGTTCTTGAATAAAAGGCATTTCAATCTATTCTAAGGTATAATTTAAGACAAGTTAAGGAGGACAACCTTTACCTTGAAGAATTCAAGTATTAGCAAGTGATAGTTATGTCCAGCAAGGTAAGCTACTGCAATTTTCTCCCTCTTGTGCTTGACTTAATTAGGACACTTGTTATGTGTTAGTGATTTGGAAATTGCTACTTTTACATGGTGAATTTTGGGGAGGATGTTCTGGTGATTAGTGCATGTTGGGACAGTTATGGTGGGGAGTCCTCTTTATGTTAAGCTAGGAGCTTGTTTGAGCACTTTAAAGGTAACGTTAGCTCTTCAAGTGTTGGTGATCATAAACCATGATTCATATTGCTTCTATTACCTTATTATGTCCAAATATTATTTTATGTATGTTATGATAAGGGATATGACTGGATGTGCGGGGAAGTTATAGGAGACGTTAAAGGTCTTAAATATTGGATGGAGTTTTGGGGAGGACCTGATACGAAGGTTTTACAGTACATAGACGGGATTAAAGGGATAGTGAAGGAAAGAAACACTGGCTAGATAAATTGCATCTTGCTTCGTTACTATTAGGTGTGATCAAGAGGCTCAAATTGATTTATTACCTACTAATACTAGTCTTACAACTTATTTTATTGTAGATTAGTGATGTGAAGAGATGGAGCTTAAGTCATACATTTTGAATTGTATAGCAATGTATGTAAGGCTATTTGATTTCCTATTTCTTTGCATGAATCCAAAACATGCGTTACAAAAAGTAAGCATTCTACGTGCCCTTGGCAGTGTTTGATCCATAGTTGCAGTTCCTACTCCCAAGAGCATTGAAGTGCGTACTCTAATATGAGTTTGTTACTAAATGTGTGTGTTTACTCTACCAAGTGTTAGCATGCTTGTTTAAACTCGTTTTATTGTAAAAGTACCCCTAGCACTTATTTCCATTATATAAGTCATAGTGATCCTAGATTACACATGGTACATATGTTTATAGGATGGATATACGATCTGCCCATATCTTGCCAACTTGCTTTAATTATTTATAGATATGTCATCTTGTCACACGTTCATATGTTCCCTTTCTTGTTATCACTCCCATTGTGTTAGACAATAATGTTACCTCACATGATCGCTACTTGCTCAATTATACATTTATATGTACTTACTTGGAATATGTATATGTCCTTAAGTTGAATTTACCCTATTTCCCCCTTGGTTCCACATGCATGAACATTTTGTACTTGTAACATATAGAGTTCAAATCTCTTGGCTGAATGTTCAATTTTCTTCACAGGATGTGCTTCAATTTGTGATGTTAAAATGCTTTCCGAGTCATATAAGCTCCTAAGTACTACGTTCAAGTCACATTTGCTTCCCATGTCATTGTTATTAACGTAAGTCCATATTCATATGTCTTCTACTACTGGTTCGCAATTCCAAATTTAAATAAGGATTATGACCACCAAAAAATAATCACAAAAAAGTTTTGAACATCTAAAAGAAAAATTTTAAAAGAGTTATTATTTATTAAAGAACAATCCCAAAAGAGTTATGAACTGATAAACAACAATCTCAAAGATGAAAGAATCTAAGTAAAGTAATCAGTATGATTATGTGTGGCAGCTCAGGGGCAAAATCCTAGCATGGGACGATCCCGATTGGTATGGAAGGGTGACAACTTAGGGGCGAAATCCTATCATGTGCCGATCCCGATTGGTATGGAAGGGTGGCAGCTCAAGGGCGAAAGCCTAGCATGGGCCGATCCCAATTTGTAGAATTATGAGGACAGCATCCCAGGGGTCATCTGTATCATATGTATTAAGGTTATAAAGAATAGAAAAGTAAAGAAAAGAATGTAACATGCACGATTCCACAAGTACAAAGCAAAGGTTGTCTCTAATCCTTATCTATTGGTATTTGGTTTCACTTGAGCTCTCATGTTACATATGGTTGTATTATGCCTTGCATATTCAGTACATTCTTTCGTACTGATGTCCCTTATTGGGGACACTGCATTTCATGCTGCAGGTACAAGTACTGAACTAGTAGATTTTTTTAATAGAAGCACATTATACTCAGCGGATGTTGGTGATCTCCAGGTTGATTCGGGGCTTTGCCGATTCATTACTATGCGTATTTTCATAGTGGTACCATCATGGATTCCAGTAGAGGCTTTGTAGACATTGTAAAGTTATCATCTGTATTCATAGTTTCACTTGTCACATATAGCAGTTCAGCTAGTCAAAAGGTGTTATATATGAAGCTTCATCGGTAATTTGCATAGTAGTTTACTTTCCTATCATAGATTACTTGTAAAGCATATGTTCATAAGGTACTTGTCCACCTCACCTAGGTTTGGGGGCTGACAAATTTGTACAAGGGGAGTTTTTGGCTCTTCATAACAATCCTGAAGATTTGCAAGTTGACTTTGAACTTCAAGCGATGATGGATCATTTGAAGTTGAAAATCAAGCTTCTGACACTATTTGCTGCAACTTTTGAGGTCTCCCTAAAAAATTTGTTTCAATTAGAACTTTTGGATAATCTCAACTTGTAGGAGATAGCATCTTTGTGAACTTTTGGCTTTCTTTATTTCTTTCAATCTTTTTTTCTATCTTTTTCTTTCTTTAGAACTCATTTTTCTTTGTAAAAATTTATGGAATCCCATAGTGTAATTCAATAATTACATTCTGTCCCGATAAGTTTAATAATTACAAAAAATCCCTTAAAATTGCTGAGCCGTGATACTTTAGAATGTAGTGATACATGGTAACTTAAAACTGTTAAGAAAAAATAGGGGATAAAAACGGTAAATTTAATGC